ATATATGTGTGTGTTTATATGTATATATATATATACAAGCACATAGCATTGATTTATTTTATTTACTGTGGCTGTAAATTAAATTGTCTCAGTGGTAAAAAATAGCGATGAAAAGCTTAATTGCTTTTATATATTTTTTTATATATCTTAGCATTTTAAATTTGAATTTTAAAGTAAATTTTATTGAATCATCTGTAAATTTTAATATTTTAAATCTTTTAAATTATGCCTATTTTACTGTCAAACTTTTTAGATTTTTAATTTTAAATGTTCTGTAAGGATTTGGTTGTTTCTTGTAATGGGCCCCCACTTGACAGTGATTAAGTTCACTTTTGGGGTGTCCTGTCTCATATTGTCTGTGTTTGTTCTTTGCTGTTTCCCTTATTGTCAGTTTTAATGTTTTGAGACGAATAAATGTAATGAAAAATGAAAAAATATAAAAATTCCAAAAATAATTTTAAAAAACAATTACTGGATTTGTGAATATAATTTAGAATAATTTAAGAAACACCAAAAATGAGAAATCTACTGTCGTGTTACAGGAAGTGTTGCTTCTAGAATTGTTTTTTTTTTATGTTAATTATTATCATCACCATCATAGTCATTATTGTGATCATTATCATCATCATCATATTCATCCTCATTGTCATTGTCATCATCTTTCTGGCCATCATATTCATCATTGTAATACATTCAGTATCATCAAATCATTATCATCATCAACATTATTAACACTCTGTCCGCCAGAGGTTTGAACAAATAGTATTAGCCACCGCCAGACTTTTAGCAAATTTTAACACTTTTCCGAAGCTCATTGAGAGTGCGTATATGATCAGATTGACATGTAGTGAATAGGCCTACTACAAGAACTACAAACAATTTAGCTTTACAATGGTACCAAACACTTTGTTCTAATCACAATCTGTGACCCATAACAGTAAAATGATGACTCACTTTTGGAGATTTACGCAATTTCACACAACGAAGCTGAGATAATCGAGATTTCATGAAAGTAAATCAATGCCGCTCTACGCTAATGTAAACAAACAAATATTGAAATACTTACGGTCCAGACTGAATATACTGTTCAAATTGTTAGTACATGTCGGTAATTACCCCATCTATCGGATTCTGTAAAAAAAACCTGAAACACGGAGATCTCCGTGTTTGGTGGTCAAGCGTTGCTTTACCAAACAGAGAGACAGTGTAAATATCACTGTCTTCATCATATCAGCTCCACCCCTCATGATGTTTAAATGTCTTAATAATAATGACTAAATGGTGAAAGTAATGCAACCATTTATTTGTTACAGATATATGTGCACCCAACCCATGTGCTAATGCTGGAACCTGCATGCCAATTTCTAGCGGTGGTATAGACGGATATATGTGTCATTGTAAGGCTGGCTATGGTGGAGCCAACTGCATGATAGGTAGGATAAAGATATTTAGCAATAAGTTTTATGTGGGTTTTTTTTAAATATTTTTATGATGCAACACCCATCAAATATAAAAGGGTAATCCTCCCAGCTCCCAGTGTGTTGTATTGAAGTGTCTCACACAATGCAATTTTGTAATTTACATTGTAGTCTTTATAAGTGCTTTCACTAGATAAACTGCCAAGTTAAAAGAAGTGAGGAAGATAACAGTGTGTTTATACAATGCAGCTGAATAGAACCCCGACACTTTTGATGCATTTCATATAATTCATCTTTATTTTGAAATTAAATTGATTTTTAACATTCTTTTCTTTGTGGTTTTTTTCTTTAAGCTTCTTCTACTTCAACCGATAATGAATCGGCTTTGTACAATGATAGAATGACAGACGAGGAATACTTCATGCATCAATATGTGGGCATCGCCATGGGTACCCTCCTCATCGTTATCTTAGCGTTGGTTGTCCTGATATTCCGTATCGTTCCACGTAGAATCCATAACACAGATTTGGAATTGCGCAAAGATGAAGTTGCTCTAATTCATTAACAATTTGTTTCCTAAATAAAAAAAAAGAAACAACTATGCAAATATGTTTCCTGACATGAAACAGTTTTGTTGTCCCCCCTCTTGTTTGTGTACATATGGGGCTGTCAGAGTAGTACAAATCTACCAAATAGGAAATCAGCTGCTATATCTAAATTGTATTATTTAATACATGTAGTTTTTAGACTAGATTTGTTCTGTAATCTATCTGAGTGTATTATATACAAATAGAAAACCAAAACTGCATATATTTTAAATATAACAGATTAATAACAAGTGTGTTCTCACAGCATATTAAGTAGGGATTTTACTAAGTAATCTTAAATATGACATTCTCTGATGTTACTTAAAAAATATCAAAGGAATTTTCATTTTCAACTGAATGTATTTACGTTTTTGATGATCTGTAATATTTTAAGTATATATTTTTTTACATTACTGGGTGAAAAGTAATATTATTTAACATGATATTTAATACTGTATAATTGAGTCAGTATATAGTATACAAATTTTGACTACTCTAGATTTGAGAAATGGTGAAATCTGTTTCTCCGAGGTGGCTATAGATTTCACAGTTTCCCAAATCTAGAGCAGTCAATATTTGTTTTATATACCTCATACATAGATACAAGACCTAAAAAAGTAATGAAAGGAGTACCGACCAACGAGGACTAGACTTACTTCCTAGGGCTAGGCAATCGTCCCCTTTACCATCGTGCACGTGTCATAAATTACATAGCAACCTTATAGGTGCAGACCTAGAAATTTTACATATACAAAAAGTACTATCATTTTAGGTGAGTACTTTTTTTCCAGGAAAAAATGAACTATCACTCAAATATACACCAATGGAGTGATGGTTAAAGTTATTGTCCACTTCTTAACCTGAGCAGATGCCTAGAATCTATGTATGAGTTATATAATAGCAGATAGCTATAGGCCCTAATTCTTGATAGAAATCACTTTTTGCTTTTGAAGTTCTTTCCACTCTAACAAGACTCCTATGGCAAATATGTTTGATTTGCTTATATTTGGGCATGTTGATGTCACAGTACACCCATATATGGGCATTATGAGGTCATATTGCTCCCATTAATTGGCAAACCAAAGGTGTTTGGTACATAAGATTTGAGAAGGTGGACAGAGCATTTAATGCAGAAGTGTTGTAGAAGTTGTTATAAGCTGTATAAAGATTTGTTAATGTTACACCATTTTTTTTACTTTAATAAACTTATTTACTGGTCAATAAAAACACATGTTACATATACATGATTTCAAGTTATTCTCATTTATTTTTTTTATCGCATTTGCATATTATCTTGTTTTGTAATTTTTGCACCGGTTGCATCATTAATTTTAGAATTGATCCCAATCGATATATATATTACAGCGTACCTGCATATAATTATTTCACAAAACATTTGTATTCGTTTGTAGAAAAACGGCTTTTATTTAAACATATTTACCTGCTCATACCCAGATAATTTAATATGATATTAATATCCTTTATATAAACCAAACCTTTAACCATGAGTAATCAGAATTTACTGTCTTTCACATGTCCAAAAACTCTGACTAAGGCTATCTTCTGCTGTGGAAACGTCAGACAGTTTGAAAATGTGATGTAGACCTATTTTCATAAATTTTTGATTTGTCGTCTGGAATAATTTGTCGATCGCGCCTTATTTCGGAAATTGAAAGTGCCTGAATGGCCCCGCCCCTTGGAAATTGTTGCTAAGGTCTCACAAAAGTGCAGTGTGAAACGCACCTGTCTTTATTTTAATTGGTTAATTAAATTTGAATGTCACTCTGGAAAGATCCATTATTTTGTGAGGTAATTTAAGTAGACACATTACATGATACAAATTTTTTGATAACCATATACACCATCTTTAAACTCACGACGGGAAAGTTTAAAAAGTAGGCCTACAATGTTATTTTAGGCTGGCTACCCCAGCAGGTTTTTTTTTTCTTGTTTAATAAATCCTGCGCTGTGGAGTTAAACAGGTGCACTACGGTTACTTCTGGTAAACGTTTTTTGGTAAATTTTATTTCAGATTGGCAACATCCAAAGTCATCCTATATTCATTTCACACCGGTAACACCCAACTATGTTTAACCTAGCCTTCTATAAATCAGCATTTCAACACGCATTAGTATGCTAAACGCATATTTTAAACTAAATTCGCCTGAGATGAACAAAATAATTATTAAATTCTGTATGCACTATTAAATAATTTTTTTGATATAAAAATATTTCAGAAATTATCGAAAGAAAAGAAATATGTTTTTTTTATGATAGAATTAACCACATTTTATAATATAATGTGTAAAATATAATTGTGTAAATTGTTAATTAGCTTAGCTAAGCCTAGGAGGCCTATATGTATAAAAGAAATAACTTATGTCCGAAAATATTACGCAAATAACGTTAGAAACAGATAAAATAACACGTAGCATTTTAGCTACTTCAACAAAAGGACCTAGGCTACGGCCTAGGCCAGCAGCCATCTCAGCTAGTTCTGCTAAGTTTGGGCCTATTCCCCCTGGTTCTTATGCGGCCCGCGCGCAATTTATTCTGGCCGCTAGAGAAAATAAAATTATTAAAACAATATTTAAAGTTACTATATATAATATTACTAACCATTCGATAAACCATTTCAATAAAGTAAAGACCAAAGCACAACACTGGGCCATTTTGAAGTAGGGTGAACCCCACTCGATGTAGAGAATGAATTACGTTACCAACCAATCGAAAAAAATCTCGTAGTGATTCTGGTGGGAATTTTTTCGCAAGTTTTGGGAATGTACTGAGCATTCGGTATTTAAAACACGTCAGATAGAGCAAGCATCTTTAGCATTATTTCTGACGCAAAAACGCCATCATATTATTTTAATTACTTTTTGGTGCTATATTCCTTTTTCTTTAAATTTTGCACTTGGGTCATGGGTTCACGTGCCCAGAGAAGATTACAATTACCATACAGAACAAAATATTGAATCGATGATTATACCTATCATGAACACAATAGACAAGTTAACGTTTTATCTATCCATTTATTATTGCACGACGATGGTGTAGGGCGTAGAACGGAATGACGTCACTAAAAGCAAGGTAATTCAACAAAAGGACGCACATCTCGGGACATCAAAGGTTATAACTCTGGCATCGACATTCTAGGCGCACGTGCGTCCCTAAACGCTGAACGTCACAAAAACCATAGCAACTAGACCATAAACCGTCAGCGTACTTAACGATTTACCCACGCTCGTGTTAGTTGCCATATTAGTCGCGCGTCGTGCGGTGATTACAAAGGCCTAATGATATTTTGCACTAACATTAGACTGAAATATATTCTTCATTTCAACATTAATTTTACCAAAATTGTGGTGAATTGTCGTTCATGAGACTCACTTCGCAGAAAAAAATAATAAAAGATGTGTATAAGAGACAGGTACTGTACTATATGCTGCCATATAACAAGGAACATATCATAAGAACATGAAATTTTATAAAATTCGTAAATTTTGAATTGCTATAACTTTTCATTTTCTTGGTCAATTTTCACAAATCAAATGACCACTAAATGACACGCCATAATGCAGGCAATGTAAAGGTTTTTAAGGTCGTTAAAACTGCCATTTTGAAAAAAGCTTTAATAGTTCCCTGGGGCGGATGCAGGATTTGGCAGTAGAGGGTGCGCGAGACACCACATCAACAAAACCTTGGAAAATTTGGAAAATATGGACCTAGATGTGTATAAGAGACAGCGGTCACGCATGAGTGGATTCCGTTCTGGCGTCGCGTCGTCGCACAAATCAAAAGCTCCCCTATTAACTAAACGTGTGGTCCATTAATGAATTGTTTTCATTCTACCGCATCTCCTGATGGGAAAAAAATAAAAACAACAAATGACTTGCTATACAGTGACAAAATCAATTTGAAACATTTAATTTACTCAAAGAGTTAGTTCAAAGGATTAGAATTATGAACACTTTCAGCTATCAATATTGAACAGTCAACATATGTTCAAAATCAATTTTGAACAAAAACCACTTGTTTCAATACAGTATCTGAAATCATTGAGTAAAATGACTAAAATACTAGGCATATAAAGTTCTCCCACGTACGACTAAATACCTAGTTACTTTCGAAATAGCAATGCCAATTTTTGGCTAGTTTAGTAGTTCTACCAAATACCGACAAACACTGATATTTACAACATAAGTAGAAAAAGAATTAAAAAGAATAAGAAAAAAAATAGATGATTATATTTTTTTCAATATAAAAATTATTATATAGCATATCTCAGCACAATATTGGTCAGGTCAGGTAGCAATTACACGATTACATTTCTTATTCACAAATTCATAATGAGTGTGGTATTTAAATTTTAAGAAAATGATGTTCAAAGACATTTAGAAGTATCTACTTTTTCATTGTTTGTCTCTATCAACACGTAAAAGCCTACCTACCGCACTTAGGTCTATATTCGATTTTTTAAATAATTATAATCCACTTTCCATCTATTGTAAATTTATTTGCAATATCTAACATAAAGGTCCTTGGTTACATTATCGCCAACAGAGCATGCGTAGAACCTGCACAATTTTGAGCACAGGGGCTGACATCAGAGGGTTTACAAAAGGGTCAAATGCCACGAGGACAGGGGCCGGATCCAATAGTCCCCTACTTTTACCGGACGATCAGTCTTGTACACTAGGCCTACGGCTTGCAGTCTGTATCTGAGATTTAGGTTCAGTGTTATAAAGACTGAACCCAGAGTGAGAAGAGATTCAAACCCCATACCATTGATATTAGGGCTGCAGATAGCCGGTGCCCCAGGCGTGCTGCTCAATTACTTACCATGGGGGTTACCATAACCCCACCAAGTCCTTTCTCATCCCACACCTCGAAAAGACACTCTCTAACAAGGCCTGATGAATAAAACACTTCTTATGCCTACTAATTATCAGAACAATGGGGATGCCATAGTCAGTAAGTGGATGCTTTAGCTTTATAAAGATATAACCAATTTCCCCCGGGGTACTTATTAACCCCTGGGGGTATCGACTTAAAAATAGAAGAATTCTGTTCCCCAACCTATTTAAAGGAAACCGTAGAAAATTTCATCGCAGTACTATGGGAACTGTGTTGTTGCTAAGAAGTTTCTTTTCCTGCTGCCTGTGATTTTCTTCAATTTCTTCAAAAATTAATTTCTTTAAAAGCCGGTTTTGCACTAGGCGAATTTATTCTTGCGAATCGAAAGCGTCGTTCATGCGCATGCGCATTTACATTTCTATCTTCAGCGAAATTGGTAGTTCGAACTGTTTCTACTCTTTGCGAAGCGAAAAATGTTCGCAACCAATCAGAGCTCAGGAACTGAACCTAGTGGAAAACCGGCTTTAAGCCCTTTTTCTCTGAACTTAGTCCAGTTTATAGAGAATAATTATAATTCAAAATAGCTTTACTTTACTTATAATATTGTCCGATTGAGAGGTACGTCATTGAGCGTTCATTGTAAAGTTAATGATTTGCTCTATTCATTTACATTAAAAAAATATTTTGATAGCGTACGATCGTTTAAAAGCTGGTTTTGCACTAGGCTTAATTATTTATCCGCGCGAATCGAAATCGGTTAATGCGCATGCGCATTCACATTCCTATCGGAGTTTTTGCGAAGCGAAAAAATGCGCAACCAATCAGAGCACAGGAAGAAAAACGACGCTTTGATTCGCGAGAATAAAATCGCCTAGTGGAAAACCAGCTTTAACAGCCCTTTTGTGGTCTTGGGTCACAATTTATGATCACGCATGTGTTAATTTCTTCAAAATTCATGTTTCATGCATCCAACTTTGAAATGCGTCAGGGACATATAGATATAATAAGAATATTGATCATATTGTTTAATAGCTCTATGGTCAGGGACCGGTAATTAGCATAGCACGCATCTATATATCGGAGTTTTGCGAAGCGAAAAAATGCGCAACCAATCAGATCCCAGGAAAGGAACCGACGCTGTCGATTCACTTCACGCGAATAAATTCGAATACTGGGGGAAAACAGGCTTTATTCGAGGTTAGGTATAGTTTGAGCACAGACGGGCCGCAAACGAGGAAAGTTTACCATGGCAGTGTGTGACAATAGTAAGCTTGTTCTCTGTTGTTCTTTTCTTAGTATAGGAACTCCCTAGTTATTGGTACTGGTACAGGACCTATCATTGTGGGCCAAGGGGGAAAGGCCTAGACCCAATCATCATATTGCAAAATTCATCGCCTGCTTAAGTTAAAGAAAATCATGGTACTGTAAGACCGCGCGTAACTAGGCATCCTCCGGTACTTAATTAACGACAATACGAGGAGTAGTCATTTAGCAACGTGGTACACTACGATGAGAATTTGTAGATCGAACCACGTCACCCAGTCGACTTCACATAGGCTAGTTACCAATCTGAAAGATTTTAAATGTGTGACTATACACGGGGGTGGTTTATTTATTTATGTATTTGTTATTTATACTGGGTTTCCTCTTCAGTAACAAATTACTGTTCTCAGGGCCCAGTACACATAAAACAGTCCACGACACACAAGACAAACATACACACATGATGCTTTACACAAACTAAATCTCAATATGAGGTTTAGGGAGTAGAGTTGTTTTGGTCGTGAGAAAAAGTCCTGCAACTGACAGGAATTGAACTCATGACCCTGGGATTGGAAGGCAAGCATCTTAACCACCAAGCTATTCAACTCCACTCGCCAGGCCCCTGGGATCCAGGGGCGAAACCTCGGTGGGGGTTGGTTCCAGTTCCGTCACATAATCAGCGGTTGGTTGTGACAATGAATGTGCAAGACTGCATGCGACTACTAGATTCTGCTTGGTTGGATGGGTTGTTTTGGGCAGGATAAGAGAAATTTTACTCGGTTTTGATTCTCGAACGAGATAACGAAATGACTCAAGCCACTGCATGACCGTTTTTATATTTTAAATTAAAACAATTTCTTACTCACCACCATGTATCAGAGAGTAGTGGTCCAAATTAAATTGTATTTTGATTCAGTTTTCCAGTGGCAGAGGGGACGGCACAGGGGATATGGCCAAAGCAAACAAAATATGAAACCTGCTGGACCCCTGTCGAAGCAATCAGTTCGTTCGTTCGTTCATTCGTTGGAGAACATTGGACCTTTCCTCTCCCCCAAGTAAACGGTTAGATGCCAAGGTAATTGGTAGTATTTACACTGAGATAAGAATAAAATAATTAGTTGAGTTTTTAATGAAAGTAAAATGTTTGATTAATAGAGGGAGATAGAACCAGAGAAGAAATGTCTGCATTTTGGCAGCAGCATTCCCAAGAGGCAACTTTGGAGAAGATGTTTCTGGATTCGCAAGTTAAAGAGATCAGTCAGGTTGAAGAAATTGAGATACTTAATCTGATGTGTGATGTTAAAGAGAAAAATGTCCTGGAATTAGGAAGTGGAATTGGGTAAGTACAAAAATGTATAAACATATTTCCAGTGGCATATCTAGGGGTGGGCAGGCCCCAAAAAAAGCGCTTGTCCCCTTACCAGTCACCTACGCCACCACTGAAAATGTCTGAAGCAAACTAATCACACTCAAGTAGTTCAAAATCACCTCATATCACCTTATTTTGCAACCTGGCACCCCCACACCACCTTTGCCAGGGGTGGATCCATGAATGTCCAAAAAGAGGGCTGATTGAGAGACAACACTACCCTAGGTGGTCCGGCTTTGCAGGTGTGGGGGGGGGGGTTTCCGGGCCTGGTTGGCCCTCCTAAATCTGCCTTGTTTGCACCCATCTAGATGTGTATAAGAGACCCCCATTTCAAGACTCACTGTGTATATACCATATAAATACAATAATGTGTATATTTTTCTCCGTATTCCATCCGGATACGGATTTGTATAAATCGTGATAAAACATGTAATTGTAAATGTTTATGTTTTTTCTTATATTTTAAACTTCAGTTATGTTCACAATAAATTTCAGTAAAAATAATATTAGTAAATAATATTAGTAATAATAATAATAACAAATATTTATATAGCGCCAATTCAAAATATATCAAAGGTGCCGCTAAGACATTTTTTTATACCTTGTTTTCGCAAAATTAGTTGTTTAAAGACCTTCAGAGGAGGGTGAAAAAAAATATAATTTTGTTTTCTTATTATTATTAAGCAGATAGTTTTGCCAAAACATCCAGATGGAGGAGAAAATGAAAATAAATTTTAATGGTGAATGTAAACACTGTAGTAATAGGTTGGTTAAATGTTTTAAATTTATATAATTAGTAATAGAAATGAACAATTCTTATTTTTTGGAGATTTCAATGCAGCAGTGGGCATAAAAAAAAATAAGAAAAAAATTATAAGATAAATTTAATAAGAGACATTTTCCATTTTTTCGTGCTAATTAGCCAAAAATAAAATGTAATTTTTATTCAAAGTCATCATATTTGGCGGGCGGTAGGTTCGCTAAACAAGGTATAAAGTGAGGAAATAAAGCAAGTTAACAATCCTGTAATAAATAGGTTTTAAGATTTTTAAGAACATGATACTGAATAACAGATACCGATTCATTGAAGTTGATTGATTGAGTGATTGATTTTTGTCTGTTCGTTAATGATTTATTTTTTTATTTTGTCACTGTTGGATATTTGATTTGTGATTGTCTTTGTTGTAGTGAATACTCGTTTCGATATATTTCGTCCATATGCTTTGATAAACCAACTTCATAAACAGACTACTGTACAATATTTCCATTGTTCTCTTCCAGAACACCCCTCAAAAATAATAGAATCATCCATCACCTCACCCATATTATTGAACTTTGAGTAATCAACACCACTTTGTCATCTTTGTATTTATGTACATTGATTGATTGTTAATTATTTCTTAATTTCTTCTATTTTGTTATTTTTTTAACAGGAGGTACACTGGTAAGCTGGCTTTGGATGCTAATCATGTGACAAGCCTAGATTTTATGGAATCGTTTGTCCTCAAGAGCAAGGAAATAAATGGTCATATGAAAAACATAACGTTCCTCACAGCAGATGTTACTAGTCAGGATTTTGAACCAGAAAGGTATGGTTCGAATCATTGATCTTCACCTAAATTCTCTTTACTAGCATTTTCAATATGTTTTTTTGTATTGCGCTCCTCTAAGAAATATTTTACACAATTATTGTTCAAAAGGTACAAACTACTTTATCGTAATTTTTATCGCAAAGGAACGTACCCACTTGCAGGGTTCTGGTTTTGTAATGTGTCCCTATGGCGAGTCAATGGCCGAGCAGTTAAGGCAGGGCCGCTGCAACGTACAGCCATAATATCATTGCTGGTTCTAACTTCACGCTCGCCAATGGTTCTGAACTTCTGGTGGTGGAACAGGTCTTCTCGGATAAGGACTATACTGTAGGCCCAGTATACACAGTTTAACTCATGTGCACTTAAATGAGCCCAGTACATCTTTCGAGATGAGGGTGTATATCGGTGTACAACACCCATTGTGCACAAACAAGAGATAACATGTTACCGGTTTACCAGGTAGCTAAGACACAAAGAGACCCTTAAGGGGAGTAGCAAGTGATCATAACAAGCTAGTCCGCACCACAAGTTCTTTAAGACTTGAGCACTACATTACATTACTACCTACAGTTTCCTACATTTTATTTTTTACCATGTATTCTCTTCTTTTTTTAGCTTTGATGTTGTTTTCAGTAATTGGTTGCTAATGTACCTCAGTGATGATGAAGTGAATGACCTTCTCATCAAAATAGTTAAGTGGACAAAACCAGGAGGCAATATTTTTTTCAGGGAATCTTGTTTTAGAATACCTGGTATGTCAGATCCTCACTGTAATAATAATGTATGTACTGTATTAATAATATATAAAAAGATATTAAAAAGAACAAAAAAAAATATTAATAATGAAATACAATATAGAGTTGCTGTATCCTTGTTTTTGATTGGATAAAAGTAAATCAGTCTATTTTACGTGTTGTACACAAATATCAGGTGTCAGTAAACTAGACTTCAACCCCACCAACTACCGTACACCGTCTGTCTACTCTGCTATGTTTCAACTTGCGAAGGCAGGAACTCCACCACATGGTTTAGATATCCTTTTCTGTAGGAACCTCAAAAGCTTTATGGAGGTAATATCAAATATATATTTTTTATGAATAAACACATTTCTTTTGGTAAGAATTAATCAATTATTATATATATATAATCATACATGGTGATAATACATTTTAATTTATTTTAATTATTAAACATTTGTTATATAATTATATTTTAGTTAAAGAAGAACCATTATCAATGTGTCTGGTTATTGGAGAAAGCTTTCAGAACAACTACCAGTAGTCAACATGGTTACAATACTTTCCAGCAGTTTCTAGACAACCAACAGTACACTCAGAATGGTATCTTAAGGTATGAGAGGATTTTTGGACCTGGTTTTGTCAGTACAGGTGGAAAAGACACTACTGAGGTGAGATAAAATAGCAATAATGAATAAGCAATTAGTATAGTCATATTCTATACACTAAATGGGAATTTATTTATACAGAATCATTAATGCATGAACAACGACATTGATTGAGTTACAATAATATATATTGAATGAATACTTCTGGATGAATCTATATACTGTATAAGCCAGATTTCTAAAGGAAAAAGTAGGGCCTAATGGAAATGTTTCACTTGGGTGTATAATATCAATGTTACCTCACCAGCCTGAACTTTCCTTGCGCAATTTCATGACCTCAAATTTACAGCTCCACACTACATTTGAATGTTAATGCATTTTACTTATCAGTGTTTAAGCTGTCATTAACCAAATAGCCAAATCCTAATAAAAACTGAATTTGGCTAAATATTTTCATTCAAAAAAGCTAATGGAATTAAAGCTTAATTACTTATATTCTTTTGTTTTTTTCTATTTGGCTAATTATTTTCATACTGAGTTAGCCCTTTGCTAAATATTGTTTTTATCCAGCTTAAACTCTGCTTATATTTACCTTCTTAGGAGTTTGTTGCCATGTTGGATTTAAAACCAGGTCAGAAAGTATTGGATGTTGGCTCAGGAATTGGTGGAGGGGATTTTTACATAGAACAGGTAATATTTCTTATACCATAAAAAACATAAAACCTGTAATAAGCTCCTAATCTTGTGATAGCTACTATAGCTATTGTTATACAAATAATAAATGTTTATGAGCGCAATGGGAAGAATATTTTTATGAGTTGAAAGATTGACTGTTCCATTCGACCTGGTGGAGCTGAGTTGAATGGAACGGTTAATCTTTCAATGAATGAAAATATTCTTTCCATTGTGCGAATAAAAACATTCATTACTTTTTTTTATAATACAACTAAAATAGATTCTTGTCATTAGATATTGTATGAAAAAAATCTACCTTCTTTCTGAATGGAGATTCTTGTCATTTGATATTTTATGAACCCTTTTTTAAAAAGAACAGTCCAGTGTGTCTTTAAACAATCAAAAGATTGTATTAGGTTGATCGTCTATCGTATCCTAGGCCCCATGCAGTGGGCAAAACAGATGGAAAGAGAATGCACGGATGCAACTAAAAATGCACAGTGGAATTAATTTTCCATGATGAGTGACGAAATGGGGTAAATAACCAATGTCAGATGATGCGAAATCCACTAATCAATGACAGAGATCTATTCTAAAAGGAATGTTTGATCATCATTGTGGTAATTGGTTTATTGTTCATTTCCCGCATAAACAACAGGAATTTGTTTGTTAAAAAAAAATTATTTAGTATTTGGCAAATTTCAATCAATACAGCTTGATGAAAAAATTGACATTAAATTATGTAATATGGTCAGTAACTAAAAATAATTAATGTTATGTTGTATTTTAAATAATAATTAAAATTATATAATATATTTCTGATAGAAATATGGCGCTGATGTTCTTGGTATAGATTCATCAGTTAACATAGTTGAGATTGCCATGGAGCGATCGCCTGCAGACACTAAGGTAAGAAATTTTACATAAAGGTGGAAAAAATCCTAGTTTTAAAAATTAATTTATTTAGAGAGCACTTGGATATTCTTATCAGTGTGTAATGCCAGTGGAGGTTCAAGGGAGCTATTTCCACAGTCAGACGAGCATTCCCCCACCCCAGCCCCTGTTGGTAAGCATGGCCCCCTGTTGTCCAACACCACGATAAGGTTGTCTGACTAAAAATATTAATTTGCTGAAATAAACAATTATTATGATTGTCAATCCATAAATGTACAATTTTGGGTCATACTAAACCATAAAATCCCTCCTCATAAATCCCACTGGGGAATTTATTCCAGGACCCTGACCATGGTCGTAGGCCACCCGTTGCTTCAGACCATTCCATCAGACATTTGTACCCCTTGTCGACAAAATTCTTTGGCCACCTTGATTGTGATAATACTGTACTGCTATGAAAATGTCACATTAGGTGACATTTGACATTTTGAACTCCTGCTTTATGATAGGTCTGAATTAAATTTGTGCATTTATTTGCCCAAATTGTCACTTACATTGCACTTACAGGTACAGTTCCAAATATGTGATGTCACAACGGTGGAGTTTGGGTCGGAGAGTTTTGACGTTGTTTACAGCAGAGATACGTTGCTTCATATAGCTGACAAACCTGCAGTTTTCAAGAAGTTTATGGTAATGATTTGAAAAGCTTTTTTGCAGACTTTCATTTACAAAGTACACAGTGTAGTAGGGGAAGGGGTAAGGGGGATTTAGAATTTTTTTATGAATATTGAATTATTATTATCATATACTATAATAATATTTTGGCATCGCAATTTTACAGAGGTGGTTGAAACCTGGTGGTAAGCTGTTAATATCCGATTACTGCCATGGCGATTGTGAGCATTCTGAGAAATTCAAGTCGTATGTTGCTCAGCGGGGTTACGTTTTGTATACGGTACAACGGTACGGCAAGGTAGGTATTTCAACTGACAGAATATTTTTTTCCAATCAAATGTACTTTTTATGGTCATATGACTTCAACTTCCTTACTTTTTTATAGATGTTGGAAGAAGATGGATTTGTTAATGTTAAAGCTGAAGATCGATCCAAACAGTTTGCTAGTATTCTAAAACAAGAGCGAGCTCAGACAGAGGCGAACAAGCAAGATTTTATAAAAGTAAGTTTCATATTCAATAAATATAATTTAAAATGTGGGTTATATTATATTTTACATGAGATATTGTGTTTGACATGAAAGTTGTCATGTTATCCAGGGTTAGAGTGTAAGATGCTATGCCTATTTTTTATACATTGAGAAAAAAATAATGTTTTGTAAGGCAAACTAAATAGTGTTCTTTCAAAACCAGTTTGGCCATCAATTTTAACAGTAAAAATATGCAGCCACACGGTAAAAGGTACGTGTCAGTAAATAAAAACCCCAGGCCGATGGATCCTAGGCTGGTCTTTTTTCTATAAATGAATATCATCCCTGTCTAGGCCTAGGCTGTGACTGTATGTGTTGTCTTTTTTTTTCAAATCATTAAACCCCCACCCAAAATGGTTAAAGTCTTACGCTGCGCAATCAGTGGACTTTATAAGGACAAAATTACAAGTAAACTTTTTAATTAGAAAAGCACTGTAAAAATAACTTGTGTTTCTTATTTGTTTATTATTTATGCACCAATCTTCTGATTTGGAGAGGTCCTCTATCAAAACAATTCAATTAAAATTTCGATTTCATTTTCGAATGACATAACATAAAATGTGGAATACTGCCATTTGTATATTCATATACTGTACACATAAAAATCTTAACTACAATGCGATAAATATTTTTATTTTGGGAGTATTTTTAAGCCAAATAATTTGATACCATCTTTGAATATTTACAGGATTTTTCTGAAGCTGACTACAACTATATTGTAGATGAATGGGCAGACAAGTTGGGACATGTTGAGATGGGAGACCAAGCATGGGGCTTATTTTATGCCGAAAAACCCCTTTAAATTAAAAGGGTTTCCAGCATAAGCTGTGATTAGTGAATTTAACTAATCTTTTATCAAACATATTTAAGCTTTAATTATAGTATTTTAATAACTTTTTGTATATAAGGGCATTATGATTTGCTATCATATTTTAACTTGCATGTAGATAAAAAAAATTACAGTACTTTCTTGATAGACCAATTAAGACATATTTGTGATATAACACAGTACTAGACACTGACGTTGGCCGTCAGAGTCACATGACTAAAAAAAAAAACACGGAGCAATGCTCATAGGAAAATGCATGGCTTCTTCTGAGTGCTTCAGCTGCATATACAGTATAGTAATGTCGAATAATGTTTGTACTCTAAAAATTGTCCCGAATTTTATCTTTGCTAATTTTCCTAAAGATACAAATTGATGTATTTTAAAGAGTTTGCCTGAGTGCTTAAGTGTGAACAGATTTACCAGTGATTCTGTAATTCGAGTGGGATTCGCTGTGATTTTCTATGATTGCTTTATGATGGAATAACCTTAAAATCTGCAAAGGGTGCGGGAATTAGTATAGGAACATATTTGAACCATCACACTGCCTTTCCTTGCCATTTTTCTCACATCATAACATTTACTGTTATACATATACATTATTCACCACTGTATGTTTTCACCATACTAAACGTATCCATGACTACTACTAGTTCTGGGTCACCGATTGTGACCTACATTAGAAGACCAAAGTACAGAGTAGAAACTTTCATGAATTATAAATAACAAAGGAAAGAAAGAACCTTATTCTATCAATGTCATTTTGGAGAGAACTTTATTCTCCCTTGAGTTGGCTATGATAATGAATTGTGTATTTTATCATTGAGGTACAGTATGGTTTTTATGAAATTTGAGCATTTTTCATTTATTATTTGGTGAAATATTTGTGAAATAGCAACAGTAATTGTTTGTTGTTTTTTTTTATTGTTAAAGTACTCTTACAAAAAAGTTTTTCGTTTATTATGTGGTTATATGCAGGACAGACATTTGCATCCAGAGAGTTATTGAGATTGATTGATAATCAGTATTATCATTTAAGTTCATTGAATTATATTAGTATATTATTATTGTTGTTGAATGTTATTTTTCATTTATTATGTCATATGTAGAAAATAATTATTCATGAATGAATAAATTAACAGGTAATTTATAAATTGTCTTTTCTCTGTCCTATCAATAGTAAGGCCTATAATAATATTTTTAACAATAAATATTTAAATAATACAATTTTAAAATAGTGGTACTAAGGTATAAGCTAGTACAGTGTATGTTTATAGTACTGTATTCAGTGGCCAAAAAAAAATACATACGGCTAAGGAGCAGAATGGGGAACAAAGGTTGGGGTTTCAAGCGAGGGGAGCTGGTTGAGGAAAGCAATATACAAGTGATTTTCATCTACTTGAGTGATTTTTTTTGGCTCGGCAAATGCCCATTGGGTAATACCTGAGGGGTACAAGCTATTTTACCTTACTCTTATGCTGCTAACAGCCTGGGTTGCAGGACCAAATTTTGGTTTTTCATTTTTAATTGCGCTTAGTGCGCGCCATACCTTATGTAAGTGGCGTCCCATATTTGATTTCTTCGGATTTCACTGTAACCATAGAGATATAATAAGAATAATAGCTCTATGACTGTAACTCAAAGATCTTATAAACACAAGATAGCGTTCTCCGCGATTTACGCGTAACAAATAGAAGCGTCGGTCAAGGTTCAAAAGTTTCCTATTTAGCAAGAGGGCGCCAGTCATGCGCTATTACCGAAGAGAAAAAGTAATAAGTTTTGGAAGAGGGCGTCCTATCTGTTGCCATGGATCTGAGATGGTTCCTGTTCGCGATTTTTTTTTCCGTACGAAACATTTGCATGAAACTTCACTCGGGCCATCTCGGATTGACTCGACTAAGTTCGATACGAGGAACAAGAGCAGACACTTCGCAATGTCGTGACGCTCGAGT